TTGTTGTTAAAGGGTGGTGACCTGTGATGCTGATGATGCTGATGATGCTGATGGTGTAAAATGTAAAATATGATCGTGACATCTTTATAACTCTTCACATCCATCCATTATCTTTACCGCTTTTCTCGTCAGAGGTCGTTGGAGGGGGGGGGGTACAATCCCAGCTGTTATTGGGCGAAAGCCGGGGTACATCCTGGACTGTTCATCAGCCAATCACAGGGCTCAGAAAATCAGACACACTCATATTCACACATACGGTCACCAGTTAACCTAAGGAGCATGTCTTTGGACTGGAGAGAACCCACTCATGCAAACTCCACTCTCCTGTGTGACGGGGATTTGAACCCAGAACCCTCTTTGCTGTGAGGCAACAGAGCTGCACCACTGCACCACTGTGCCGCCCTATCATTATAACTTTTTAAATATTTCATCTGTGTTGTAGAAAGGGTTACAGAGTTAGATCAGCCCTAAGTCACATTTGAATTTGAGAGTGAGTAAAAGGTGTACGTGCAAAAGAAGAGGGTGGTAAGCAGGACGTTTCCTTTTATTTATCTATTTAGTTATTCATTTATTACAATATACAGACACACCAGTCAAGAAAAAGACACACAAGGAAAATGATCAAATCATAACACAAACGTTTAAATTGAGAGACTAAAACAATCTAAAGAAAATAAAATCACTGATGTGGATTTTTTTTGTGGAACCCAAAAAGGACTTTTGTAATTAAAGTTTTAATTTATATAAAAATGTACTGTCAGCATTATCACTTTGAATAACAACATCCAAAGGCCTGTGATGTATTTGTATATTCAGAAGAACCAAAGTAAACAGACATTTAGGAGGAACAGTAACTTAACCACAGATCATCACTTTGTCCCAACGAGGCTATGAGACACAAAACGTGTGACCTCTGACCCTCTCCCCGTCATCATTGATCCTACAAACATCTGACAACTGTCATATCAGTTCTAACAAAAGGTAGGCTACATATTGTTTTACACATATCTGGTAGAGATGTACTTTTCCATAATTTGAGGATCACTCTGGTTCAAAATAACTTCCTCATTCAATAAAAAAATACTCTAAAGAATGAGTTTAGAACTTAAGCCTTGTGGACATCTTGATAATAAAATAAAGAAGTTGAAAACATCATACAGTTTTTTTTTTTAAATATCTATATGTAAAATAAGTGAAAACATTTATGGTCAGGGTAAATCACATTTGTTTTACATAAAATATAATTCTTAAGATCTTTAGACTGTTTCTATTGTTGTTTTTTAACCAAATGACGTCAGAACCTTTATTAATAATTTTAACAGATCTCTGGTGTTTTTTATTTGTCCAGATTTAAATCCTGTTCTTGTTTTATTAACACATCAAAGTGTCTGAGCTCTGACTCGTGTACTAATTTGGCAGACACAGTGGTAGAAAATGAATACATTACTGGTACCTGGTGCCCTGGCCAATCAGAGCAGAGGATTTATATAGTGGGCGGAGCCGGACAGAAAGAGACTGACAGAGGGAGAGAGGGAAGTCAGAGCAGACACCCGACAGCAACACTGACAGATAAACTGGAACGAAAGCATCAAACCTCAGACAGAGAGAGGAGCAGACTGGACCGTGTGTGGACTAAGTTTGGACCGGCTTTTGTCCAGGTTTGGTCCGGATCATGCCGGTGAGACGGGGCCATGTGGCTCCTCAGAACACCTTCCTGGACACCATCATTCGCAAATTTGAGGGTCTGAGTGAGTACAGGAGACTTTGACGAGGGTTTGATTTCTGATTTTAACTTTAAAGATGGAGTTAAAAAAATAAAAATAATAATAATAATAATAATAATAATAATATAACTCTCCGCTGATTAAAACTGTGTTAATCTGTTTAAAACACACCCATACTCAGGATGAAAGTTGAAGGTAGGAAAGAAGATTTGTCAAAGAGAATTGTTTCCGAATTGATGTTCCAATATGTCGAACATTAGACAGGTTTTTAACAATATATTTTTTTAAAAATGTAATTTAGATTTTTCTTCTACAGTAATGCAGGAATTTGAATTTTCTCTCAACCACCTGATTGTACATCAGGTCTCCTGAGTGACATCACACATCTTTAAAATCTCTAAAACATGATTAAATGTTGCTGCCTCAGGGCGATTTGATTGTCCTGTTATTGGAGTCCAATAATGTCTCTCTTCATTCTCAGTGTGGGTGTGTTTTTATTAAATCGTGATTGGTTCTTGGCTCTTTGCTCCCCTCTGTCCTCTCAGATCGTAAGTTCATCATCGCTAACGCTCAGGTGGAGAACTGTGCCATCATCTTCTGTAACGATGGTTTCTGCGGGATGTGCGGATACAGCCGGCCAGAAGTGATGCAGAAGCCGTGTACCTGCAGCTTCCTGTACGGTCCTCACACCAAGAGGCCGGCTGTGGCTCAGATGGCTAAAGCTCTCCTGGGAGCCGAGGAGAGGAAGGTGGAGATCTCGCTCTACACTAAAGACGGTACGATACACTCAAGAGTTTCACAAGTTAGTTTATGTCTGGTACATTTGTCTTTATTTCTCCAGCTCTGTATCGTTTGAAATATTTATTGCAGCAGAACATAATGTGTGTACTGAATCTAATCACTCCTCACAGTTCTTTATGTGATGGGATGATATCTTGAAGCCCTCAGTTGGAGCTTACAGGTGGATACTGAGGTGGTGGCGGTGGTGGGTGTGAGCGAGAGTGCAGTACTGGTGCAGGTCAGAGCAGGCAGTGAAAGGGCAGAGGGAGAGAGATCAGAAATCTTGCAGCTTAAATAGACCGCTGATTGGAAGGAGGTGTTGTCGGGTGATTATTAAGAATGAGGCATGTCAAGTGAAAAATCACTGAACTGGCTCGCAAGGCATCGCCTCATTTGTGATGGTTTGTTTTCATGATGCACCAATCCAACTTTTTGAGCTCTGATGCAAACCTATACCTGGGCTTTGGATATCTGCCGATACCGAGTACCAAACTGATACCTGTGTTTAATTAATAATCTGTAATCCTCAAAGTACGCTTAAACACACAGTCAGCCCCTCTATTGTGAAAACGCCTATGGAAGCTGTTCTTGCGCTGGCAGCGTGGATGATTTTATTCATCAAAACAGTTCATTCATTTTTTTCGTCTCTCTCATTCTCTCTTGTATTTAATAGTACTCTCTTTAATCTGCATTCTTTCTAAATATGCATCATGTTTGTCTCGATGTAACTCGTTTCAGCCGTTTGCACTTGTTAGCTGCGGTATAATTGTCATCAGACGAATGCTGATGCATTCAGGGATTGTATTGTGGCTGGTGAGTGTTTTCCTGCATACATTCAAAGACGACACTGAAACACCAGTGGCCGTTATACTTGGACTACATGCAGAGCAGACTGCAATACGTCGAGTCACATCCAGTCTGTATTTTAATGAAAATCTGTGAGTAGAGATTAGTGCCATGATGGTAAGTTTGAAATACTTGTGCATCAGTCTCAGTACAAAATAGGGGATAAGGTTAATCTACAGAGGGCAGATAAACAATCAATGACGTGCTAATCCTGAATATAAAGAGTATTATTTATATTTAAGATCAACTAGTTTAATTTTAAAAATTGCTAGCTGGAAAATAATGGATTCCTGCTTTATTTTACTCTGACATCATTTCTTTATCGTCCAATATTATCAGTAACAAGCCCTGATTATATAAGTGTTAAGTAGTGACACTTTTTAACTCAGCGTCAGTGTGCTGAACAAATTAAACCTAAACAATTTTAAATTGTCTTGATATGATTCTGAGGTGAAGATAGAAAGGTGAAAATCCCGAGACAGATCCCAGTAAAACCATCAACCTCACAACATTAATGAGCACATTGTGATCAGGATGGGTTCACAATCAAACAGTTATTCTTCTAGCTAGAGATGATTGCTATTGTGGCTGTCCAGGTCGATGAGTCCTCAGCATGTGAGCAGCTCGCAGCCCTGCGTTGTGAAACGTGTGTTTTATTTTGAAGTCGATTGTCATCCCTTTAACCTCTAGTTCATATTTTATTGTATTTCTTTGCTTTGAATCGAAGTGTCTGTCCTCAAATGCAAACCACAGTCTCACTTTGAGTTCACTATCAAAGACAAACGTTGTAACATTACACAGTTTGCAGCTTTTAAGCACACAGATTATTCTTGATTTAGGCTGAGATTCTATGCTGATGTTGATTAGGTTCAGTTTTCCCTCTACAACAGAAAATAGTTACAATTTAATAATAGTTTTATAAACACAAAGGCTGTTCAAATGTGTCATATCTGATTAGTGTAATGATAAGATAGGTAATAAGTGAAATGACTGTGTGTTTTTTTCCTCTCCGAGGAACAAAAAGGATCCGCAGTGCAGTATGGATATGAAGGCTGATAATAATTATCAGATGACTGATTAAATTTAGACATCAAACCAGTCAAAAGTGGGTCACAGTCTAAATAAAGCGACCTTACAGGAGCAGCTCACTTAATACTGAGACAGGACTGACCGTGGATCGACAAAAAACTGAGAACAGTTCAGAAACAGAGGGGGATTTTCTTGCACAGCTTCACCAACTAGCAAGGTGCATGAAGAGTGAAAGGCTGGAAGAGGTCAAAAAGCTCCAGGCACAGGCCGATGCCTTCCGGTCTGTTGCCCTCATTAGGGCCCTGATATCAGGCTGGCAGTGATAACTGTGAGACTGCATGTCCACACCTTCACAAGTTGTTCTAGAAATTGTTAACGAATAATTGACTAAAACTCCCAAATCGAGGTCAACATGTAGTTTTGCTGCTCTGTTTGAGAGGATGTTCAGATTTGGTTTCTTTGATTATGTTGACAGCCTGTGAAACCCCTTAATGTTACATCTGAGACATACTGTAATAAGACACCTCAAAGCAGCAGATCTATGTTTATATAGGAGCCAAGTGTCTGTTGTGAGCTAAAAAATAAACATGATTTGCTGTGGTTGAAGAAATGTATATGTCTGACAGTTTCAAGTAAAGGTAATGTCTATTTTCTAGCCTATTAGAAATATAGTATAAAGGAAAGGAATGTGTAGGCCAGTGATCACATCCGGCCCCCCGAAACTTCCCATCTGGCCCCCAGCATATAAATGATCTGAACATGAAAATGAAAATAAAACCCCAAGGCTTAAATACTCACCTTCACATTGGGCTTGACAGCTGTCAGGCTTATGTGTAAGCATATTTAAAAGTCCGGCCCCCACAGTGTCTGTCAAGAAAATGCTGGCCCTTCTACAAATTCAGTTGATGACCCCTGGTGTAGGCTGTACCTGCTAACAGAATATAAACCAGACTGTTAACAAGTTTGTCAGTCTTTTGTCTGACCGTGGCTGAATAAATCCTAAAATAATCTGCAGTCTGTCTCACGATTTCATCATCAAACATTTACAGAAAAAAAAAACATGCAACAGTAGTGTACATGTTTCCAGATGGGCATGAAATGATTGATTAATGATAATGTTTTACTCACATTGTGAATTCAGGACCAGAGAATGGAGAAGTACATTTACAGACTGAACATGTCTCAAGCTGAGTTAATAATGTAGGAACAACATTAAAATTTTGTATGTATCTGACACCAGCTCCTCACAGTCACCTCTGTTATTGTGTTTTTTATTGTATTGAATAGTTTGTGGATTTATTAGTTTGGCCTGCAGGCAGAGAGTTCAGAGGGTTAGACAGACGGAGGATGAGGAGAGCAGAATGATGCAGGAAGCTGATGCAGCTTTTCTATTCTGTCCATTATTTATTTGTTCATAGCTTCAGACCAGCTGGTTTTCTAAAAATATTTCCATTTACAGAAAGAGAGCAGAATGAAGTGAATGAGTAGCATGGTAGGACTGTGGTTTTAGATTATCACAGGATTTCCTGACAGTCCATACACCCTCCATCTTGATTGGGATCAAGAGCAGATTTCTTTTTGTTTACAATATATCCCGCTGACCAGAACACCCGTTCAGAGCGCACAAGGTTACTGGTAGCGCACCCACAAATATTAGCGAGCCAGTTTGGAGAGTTGCGAGTTTGTTGCGCACCCTGTGTCTCTCCACCAAAGCATTGGGATGCTGTCTGCAGAAAGAGGAGTCTACCTCATGTAAGTCTGCATCTCCTGGATCGCACCCACGTTGCTTGCCACATTACAGTTTTTATCAGCTGAGGTCAACAGTGTATGCAAAGTTACACTGAGATGGATCAAAATGAAAACTACTCTAGACAGCCTGATGCACTGACTGTATGTTTTGAATTCGGACGACTCATTACAAATTTGAATCTGAACTTTCTCTCCCAGGTTCATGTGAATGTTTGAACTTGGAAATAAAAATGGACAGCCCTAGCAGAGGGATGTGCAGATTATGTTGGATGACTGGATCTGGTGTTGTGTCGACTAAAATGGCTTCAGTTCTTGAGCTGTCCTTCTGATATTCTCTAGATATGTTCTGGAGTACAAATGTGAAAATGGCTTTCGATGTTTTTTGCAATGAAGCTTATTTGCATAGAGGGGATGATTCCCCATTCTAAATGGCTGCATATTGGCTCATTAAATTACCCACAAACAGCAACCGCGCATGGAGAAGCCAGTCAGGGGCATTAAACCCTTTGTGTGTGGTTGTTGAATTTCCACAATCGTTTAGTGAATCAGCCTGGAGCATGCATATGTAGCCCGAGTTAGCTGAAGGTGGAATTGCTGTTTGGGCTGTAATGGCCATGTGGTAGAGTAGACAAGATTGTCCTGGCCAGCCTTCTCGGGATGTTATGGCAATAAATGGACGAAACATATGTGAAGGGAGGTCCCTACTTAACATCCCAGGTGATAACCAAAGCCTTTTTAGGCCCTCTGAGCCTAGGGGTTCAGGGGGAGAATATCTGATTAAAAACGAAAATACAAAGGACTAAGGATTGAACCCTGTGGAACACCATGGACTGAGTGGGAGTTAGAGTGATTCTGTCATTTAAATAGAGAAATTATAGTAAATGTGTGAAATAATATTTTGAGACATCCTCACAGGGTTGTAGTGGTTATCACTTTATATTATTAATGTGAAGTTAAGGCAAATTCAACCTTACAATATATATCTGTAACAGTATCTTCAGCCATAACATCCCTTATATCTTCTGAAGCTTCAGGAACCTCAAACTTGTTACAATGTTACAATGTTACAAGTCACTTAGCAGATGCTTTTATCCAAAGCAACGAACATCAGAGAGTAAGTACAACACTAATCCATTCATACACCGCCACCAAATCTACCAGAGCAATGCAGGATTAAGTGTCTTCTCCAAGGACACATTGTCAGCATTTCTTACGATGAAGGTGGTTTTGAAGGTTAGATGATTGAAAAACATACGTTTCAGTTTGCAGCTGTATGCATACAGCTCTGCTTGGGGATAAGAAGGTCACTGAACCCTCAGAGAATTTAATCCTGAAGACAAGAACACTTATATACATTACAGTGCCCTTATAA